GGACATGACTCACCAAACTAGGATGTAGAACATAAACCATAAACGTGAACTGTATTATGCCAACTGACCAAGATACTCCATGAGACTATGGTAGTAATCCTTCAAACCCAGAAAACAAATCCTGTGAGGTGTCTGTTTATATCTAAGATGTATCCGTAATTAAGCCTACTATGTGCTTCATTATATATATGAATATATGTGCATACAGTCACATACAGGTATATACATATATGTATGCATACACCTATACTCACATATACATACTTGTACACATATATGCCTGTATATATACATATATACCTGTACATGTACTTTACAGTTGTTGTTGTTTCAAAATTATACACGCCATAGCAATTACCAACAGGTCCTTTCTTCTTGAGTACACTTTAGTGACACTGTTCACCTTTGTCAAGCTGTGTGCACTTCACCCTCATTCAGTGTTACCTTTCCCATCACCAAAAACAACAGATGCCTACTATTTAGACAGTGAATTCCCCTCTCCCCACTCCCCCATCCCAGGTAACCACTAATGAACACTAGTTTCTGTACTCCTATAAACACAACAACGTGTCGATTCTGCCCATGAAAAATATTCCTCATTTTAAAAATTAAAGTAGAAATAGTGTCATCTTTTTGAGGATTGTTATAAAATTAGATATTAATAAATCTATTCTAAAGATGTAGTCAAAGTTTTTGAAGTTTACCTAATTAATTTCACAGCTTCCAGCTCCTCAGCAATTGGTAAGGAAGTCATCTTTAGAAAAACCATGTTGAATGTGCAATCATCCAAAAACGCTGCCACCTTCTTCACATCACTCACTGTGACGGTGACTTCTGCTGTACTTGAAAATAATTTCTGTACAGTATCGGCCAGGTTCACAACAGCGACATCTCCAAGAAATAAGAGGTCTACCTTTACCTGAAAGAGAAGGAAGAAAAGTACAACCACCACATGACTAATATCCAGGCAGAGAGAAAACGCCGTGTACGGAAGGATCAAAGAATCAGAGGCTGCAAACAGCATGGTGAATGTCCGTGCGACTATCCTCAGTGGTAGACACGGGCTCCTCGGGTAGGAACCACGCACGTCACGGCCT